TCTATTTATCATGATATGAACATCAATCAACTATCATGCACAATCAATGCATCACTCGACTTCTTCAATAGAGATACAATAGAGATGATTTCACAACGATTTCATTTCATCTTAAATCAAGTATCTGCATCTATTATCGAGAGTCAAATAGACAAACCTATCTGTGAATTATCATTAATATTATCCAATGAACAATATCTAATGCAATCATTGAATAATACACAAGTATCATTTTCATCTCCTCTTACTTGTATTCATCATGAATTTGTATATCAAGTAATGAAACATCCACAAAAACTAGCTGTTGAACTTGATGAACAATCATTGACGTATTGTGAACTCTTACATTATGTTCAAGTATTATCTTTAACTCTTCTTAATGAATATCACGTGTTGGCAGGTGAGGTTGTGTGTCAATGTGTTGAGCGAAGTTTGTCAATGGTAAGTTGAATAAGATGAATAGCAATTAATGTGAGTTTGAGATTGATTTTGATTAGGTGATTGGTATAATGGGAATTGAAATGGCTGGTGGTGTCTATTGTCCATTATCACCTCGAGATCCACAACATCGTTTGCATGCTCTTGTACAACAAACACAAAGCCGTCTTGTTCTTGTTCATCATTTGACAAAAACTAAATTTAGTAGTAATTTTATTTTGTTTGATATTAGCTTGGTTTTGTTTAGCAGTAATGTGGATAGAGAAAATGATGTTAGTGGACTGGAAAATATATCAATTACACCTGATCATATAGCTTATATCATTTTCACAAGTGGTTCGACTGGAGCACCAAAAGCGGTTCGTAATGAAGATAATAATAAATGCTTATTATATTGTTGTCACTTTTGTTGATAGATTCAAATTCGACATCGCAATATTAGCCAGGATATGAAATCTATGGTTTTTATTGATGCAGTTAACAGCAATGACATAGTTGCACAAACTGTACGTTGTTCATTCGACGTTCATCTTTTAGAGATTATAGGAACACTCATACTTGGTGGAACATTAGTTATGTTTCGTCCTGATGGAATTTTAGATCTTGAGTATTTTAGTTCAGTAATAAGAGAAAAACAGATTACTTGTATACAAGCTGTTCCAAGTCTATTTCGAACCCTGTTCAGCTTTTTTGTAGAAACGTGTCAGTCATTTCACAGCTTATGTTTAAGATCTCTTTGTATCAGCGGTAAGATATATCGAAACAAGACTCTATAATTTCAAACTTCTTTTCTTCTTTCAGGTGAAGCATTCACTCCTGATTTAAGTAAAGTGCTGGCAAGCTGTACAGCAGAAACATGTCTCATATGGAATATATATGGTCCAGCAGAAACAATAAACTCCACATTTCAACGTGTTTATCCAGCAGCAAATGTAACAATGATTCCAATTGGTTTATCAATGCCGAATTATTCATGTCTTATCTTAGACACATATATGCAGGCTGTTACCATCCGTGAAGAAGGCGAACTGTACATAGGTGGAGTGGGTGTCTTTTCTGCTTATCTTGGACGAGATGACTTGACAGCAACAGCTCTTATTGAAATAGATGGTCAACTATTTTATCGAACAGGTGATCATGTTACAATGGATAACAATGGTCTTCTTCATTATCAAGGAAGAAAAGATCATCAAATCAAACTA